GAGAGAGAGAGAGAGAGAGAGAGAGAGAGAGAGAGAGAGAGAGAGAGAGAGAGAGAGAGAGTGGCGGCGGAGGAAGAGGGAGAGAAGGCAAGGCCTTCCTCCCTGATACCTGACCCCGTAGCTATGGCGCTGCAGGAGACTGGCACAAAATGCGGGCTGGGCCGGTGGCTGGTGCTGTTCCGCTGCTGCGCGGGTCCCTCCTCGCTGTACTGATCTCTCCTCGCTGCTCACACTAACGCTGCTGCGCTGCACTAATCTTGCTAACGCTGAAACGCTGTGCTAATCCTGAAGACTAACTCCTCTCTACTAACCTACCAACTGAGGCTGGTACCCAGCTGATATAGTGCTGGGTTGGCCTCAGTCCTACTGAGGTCCTTTGGGTCTGGACCGTTGATCAGGCCCAACGGTTCAGATCCGATTTCGGAATCTGAAACTGGGCGCCAAAACTGCGCCGCCGGCTGGGCCTACCGATGAACCGGTACCTGGCCTAAAACTAGCCGTTGGGTCTGGTGGGGTCTAAACGAGGCCTACCGGACCCTAAAACTGAACCGACGGGTCCTAGGCCTACCTGAACCTAAACTGGGCCGTCGTGACCTGTTCCTAGGCCTAAACTGAGCCTATTTCAGAACCGGGCCCTAATTGGGGCCCGTGTGGTATCAGTATGCCACAGTTGCTGTCGAAGGAAGCACCAAGGAGGAATTTTCGAGCGATTACTCTGAGGCCGAAAATGAAGATTCCTGATAAAAGAAGCTCCAAGGTAGAATCTTCTCAAGAAGGCTGAAACGGTACAGCAGGTGACATATCAAGAAATGGTCCAAGCGCTACATCAGTGAGATTTTTAACATACTCTTCCGACTCCATTGACTCCCTAACATCATCACTAACATCTTTTTTATCCTCATCACCATCCCGGTCGCTCGCCTCCCCGTTCTAATTTCCCATCTATTCCTATCAATCCTTTCTGCGAATCGCCCCCATCAGCATTCACTCAGTCCATTCAGTCTTCCCTTATTTCTCCATCCCCCCCGCTCCCAACCACTCTTCCTCCCATCCACTTACCTCTTCAGCCTCCCGTTTTACTTAGACTTATTGGTATCTTTTCTATCAACCCAGCGG